AACTGTTGACGGACGGACGGACGGACGGACGCTCGGACGGACGGACGGACGGACGATCATGCGATTCTACAAGCTGCATCTGACTATGTCAGATGAGCTAAAAACAGAAAGTATTATTTTTGGAACTAAACACAAACACAGGAATAATCCAAAACTGGACATCAGGGGCCCGTTTCACGAAGCTATCGTAAAAACACCATCTTAAGGATATCCTTAGAATTCTTGTACGAGAGCCTAACGCTGTCCTAAACGTCCCTCGTTAAAGTGTTTCACGAAACTTATGCCGGTGCGTTGTTTGACAGTCCTTAAAATTCAGCTGTAACGATGTTGCTGGCGGCATAGACTGGTAACCTATCTCAGAATCTCTACACCTTGCTACTAGATAGTCTATATATAGAGACATGTTACAAGTCTAATGGCGACCCAGCTCACTGTGAGTTGCTACGCTAATCTATCGCGTCATTTAGTTTTAATAAATGTAGGTACAACAGCGTTCAAACTAAAAATAATAAGTTAAAAATATTTTTAAATGCCAAGTACCTGAGAAATAATTAAACTAACGCAAGGTTGTCATATTTCCTGCAACTAGAACTACCACAAATGACGTATTGACTGAACAAAAATGTAACATAAATTCTGAAGGTTTATATTTACGTTTACTTTGATACAGTATTGGCACCATAGGATACAGTAATTAGTAATTACATACACGAACAGCCGAAGCACATGTAAGGTGCAAGGAAGCATTTCATCTCTTCAAAATCTGCTACCACAATAAGAAGCTTTAATATTAGCCACACTTAACCCCTGCGCGTCATGCCTTCACAGGCCTTGTACAGTATTCTCGTAGACACAGAGAAGTTTCCTTCTCGGCAGGTTTTCGCTTTACACTACTGCTTGCCAAACAATGAAAACGCGGGAAATCTCGCGTTGCTTGCTGTACGATAGCCTAAGACTGCCCCTGACCTGTCCTTAAGATTCCTCCTTAATAGCAATGTCGTTGAGTTAGCAAGACGTTTGTGAAACGTGGAAACTTAGCGAGGCTTTCGTGAAACACTCTATATGTAAGGATATCCTAAAACCCCTCTTTAACACATCACTAACTTAACGAGCGCTTCGTGAAACGGCCCCCAGATATAATGGGGTGGCAATTGCACATAAAAATACAGTTAAGTATCTAGGAATGGACTTGGAAGACTCCATAAGTGGTGAGGTAAGGGGAATTAAGGTTGTAAAATAGGTCAACAATAGATTGAAATTTCTTTCCAGAAAAGCAAAGTATTTAAACACGGCATGTAAAAGATTACTAGTTTCTGCCCTAATTCAATGTCATTTTGACTATGCAAGCAGTATATGGTACAGCAGTCTCACAAAGCGTACAAGGGCTAAGCTGCAAGTGTGTCAAAATAAAGCCATTGGATGTGTTCTCAACCTAGGTACTAGAGCACATATAGGTGCTAGAGAGTTCAAGGCTGTAAATTGGGTACCTGTAGAGTTCAGGGTAATGCAACTGAAGGTCAATAGGGTTTTTAAAATATTACATAATCTCGGCCCACAGTATATGACAGAAGGTTTCATGTTAACGTCAGAAGTCCATAGTTTCAATACAAGGGAAGGTGAGATGTCTATTTTTAAACCGAGGGTGGGAAGCAGTGGGAAAAACTAATTTACTTATACTGCAATTGAAGCTTGGAACTCTCTACCACAGCAAGTTAGGACAAATTCTGTTTATTCTAGTTTTAAGTATAGGGTTAAGAAATGTCTGATGAAAATGGTAGAAACAGTAGAGGCAGAGGAGTATGATTTTAGCTAAAAGAATTCGGTTGAAATTAGGCATAAGAAAAGTTTGAATCGTCTTATGAGAATGTACATTGTATGACCGGTTAAAACTACAAATTTGTATATTTCAATAGTTAGGGCTGATAGTATTAGTAGTGTAATGGTAAAAAATTTTTGTGGCATAGCAAAACAAGGACCACAATGTAAATAAGTGTGCTAGTCATGCTTTTTGTGTATATATGCTTGGTAATTATCCAATTTTATGAATTCAGAATTTTATTGAAAAAGTATGCTATGTATTGTATATGCTGGATAATTGCCTAAATAAAAAATAAAAAAATAAATTTTTTTAAAAATAATCAACATTCAAGGCTTGATTGTGCTAATGTCACATTTTGGGGGATAATTTTATAAGAAACAAAGAAATTGTAGAATAAATGAATACGACCATTCATGACAGCTTTTCCTCGAAGGAATGCCATTTTAACATCTTATTAGTTCGTATTAAAAGTTATTTCATTTTACCTGTTTGCCATGTAAAATTATTTACAGTCCTAGCCATGTGGCAGGTAGGAGCCTGCGATCAGGCAATTAATAATCTATAAATATCACAAGTAGATGCACGCCGGCATCACTGCTGAACACCATAAATGGCATTACTCACCCACATCTGTTGGGACAACCTAAAGGGACTTTAGGCAAAAAGCTAAAGTCACGTTTGGAATTTAAAGTTATACCACCATATTAAGAGATGCAAAGCAAAGTGCAAGTTGGATGTACAGTGCCACTTTTGATCGAATTGTTATTGAGTTCCCTCACTAAAAAAAACATAGGCACATAACTCAGTTATGCAAATGTTGAATCTTAATGTTTCAAATGAGTTATATTCCATTCTATATCATGTACTCCCGACATTACCCGATTTCCAGAAGGAGAAGCACTGCCTTTAAACATCTCAGACAAATTGGTAGACTTTGTCATTTTGCTGCTGTGGTAAGGAAGTGGAGTGCTGTTTGATGGACCTGCCCCAACTCCTGCAGAGGTCAGTTGACCATTTACATCCGTAGAAGTGATTTCCAGCCAGCTGTCCATTTCTGAGCTTGCCCCGTTTCCTTTTAAATAGACTTGGCAACATTAACACATTGGCAAAAAAATTAGAAAACTAACAAATTTCAGTCTTATATCCGCTCTTTCGTTATAATATAAACAATTTAATCCTAAATGAACTGCCCAAACTGCTGCATGTGCTTCCTTGGGATGGGTCCACCTGCCACTTATAGTACGTAGTATATCAATTTATTCTATTTACCTCGCTTATGACACTGAAGCTTAGATGCAATCTGTTCAATCTCAAGGGCCAGTACAGTGTTCAGAGGATTCTCCCGATCCTTGCGGATTCTGTCCAAAGCCAGATACAAGCAGTCCAATGCCTTGGAAAGGTATGCCTCTTTCTCAACGTCATCATCTTTCCCCATCGATTTCAAGATCTGCAGCAACACACGCATCATTCACCGATACAGGGTTACAAATAGCACCTCAGCCAGATGCCTGAATTCTATACATATACACACACACGCGTGCGCACACGCACACACGCACACGCATGCACACACCAGCACGCACACACGCACACGCACGCACACACACGCACGCACGCGCGCGCACATGCACACACAAACACGCACGCACACTCGCACACGAACTCATGCGCGCGCGCACACACACACACACACACACACTTTCTCTTTCTCTTTCTCACTTTCTGCACCCCCCTCTCTTTCGCTGACGTGCATGCTCACATCCATGGTCGCACGTACGCACGCACGCACACACACACACACACACACCTCATGAATTACGTAAAACACGCAAGCGTAAAACATGGGTTTTATATATGAAGGTATTTCTATTAAATTGCAGCAGTTTTAGGTGTATATTATCCAGTGTAAGCTATGGCGCCATGTAGCGCTCTTGTCCCCCAGGCTAAATGGGCTAAGTGGCACCATTACAAATAATTGTCGCACAGCTAACTAGACACTATACCATAGCCTGCTTGTAGGCTGCTTCAGGTAGGTGGAGCCCCTCTAGGATGGTTAGAGCTGAATTGGCCTGGCCGGCAGCCATGGCTTGACATGCCAGGAAGTAGTGACCTTGCTCTAGTAGCTGCCTAACCTAAAAAAAGCATTTATATGTGTCATGAATGGGCTCCGCACTACGCACGAGCATTTAAAGACGCAATTTCTCATCAAACACATTCACATGGCATACATACTCGTTTACGATGCATGCATTGATTTGTGTGCTAACATTTTAGGTGCACTACCATGGCATAATATAGGCCACATAGGCGCGGGAAGGATTTAACTAACCATGGCATCAAGCATCATTACTACTAACCTGCTTCCCAGTGAGGGCTGACATCTCATGACTGCTGAAGAGGCAGTGTTTAGGCAATCTCACCACCTGACTCCTATTCATTGACAAATACAGAAATATATGCATTCTCTTTAGAAGATTAAGCATTTACATACCTTTTGATGCTAGCATTTAATCACTTTAACGATCATTACAAGGATGCCATTTGCTAAACCACTAACTGCTACCACCAACTAATCTATGTTCGTATGATTATGCTTGCTGACAAAGCTCATCCAGAGGGGGTGGGAAAAACAAACAAACAAGTGCCGCAGAGCGACAGCGCTCAACTGACGTGTACTGTAGCCAGGTATTCTTCTGATAAACTCACTGGCAACCGAATCAAGTGCGCTCTCCTGCCACCGCGTTCGCGCTCAGAGCATATATCTAGGATACTACTAATACAGATCTAAAAGCTATGATAGGCTAAACCTACTGGTAGTACAGTAGTAAAGATACAGCTGTGTAACTTTAATGACTTCGCTATATTAACATGTTATCAAGGATATGCGTCGAGCGCGAGCGTAGTGGTGGTGGTGGGGGAGAGAGAAAGGGGTGGGGGAGGGGGGAGAGTGACGGTGGGGGGAGGAGGCTCTAATAGCAAAAGCAGTTCAGTCCTTTGTTAACAGTCAACAAATCCATGTTTAATCCTCCTCTTGAGGGTCAAAAGGTTATCCGACACTTACTCTTCGCATGTCAGCAGAAAGTACATTTATGGTCCTTTCAATAAAGCTATAAAAATGGTAGGTCACAGCTGAAACAAAAAAGTTTTCCAATCGCTCCGTCAGACCATGTCCTCAGAAAATGTCTAAAATCTGCCCTGTGCCCCATTGACCTTTGACCTTCAATTTCGGCACAGTGATGGCTTTTCCGACCATGATGCTGTACACCGACTATCACGAGCCTAGGTCGAGCCGTTTAGATTTGTGCCGCAATTCTGCATTTCCTCCTTATACCTTAAGTTAAGGAGGGAATGTTCCCCCTTCTTTTACACCTCTTGACCTTTGACCTTTGACCCCCAGCTTCGACATCCCAACTCGTTTTCGGATTACCCCCCCACGCCCCTAATATCGTGACCGTACGTCGAGCGGTTAAGATTTCTGCCCAACTGTTGACGAACGCACGGACAGACGGACGGACGGACGGACGCACGCACGGACAATCATGCGATTCTACAAGCTGCATCTTACCATGTCAGATGAGCTAAAAACCAACAAAGTCCAATTAAACTCTGTCTCAATGACAAAACGGTCAATAGGAACTTTCATCCATGTACCCTATGACAGTCAGCAGTGGTCCAATGAACATGCAGAATTAGTGAAAACAACTGTGGACAGGACCTTTTAATGTTAAATACTACTGTCATAATGATATTACTGATTTAGTTTTTCCAGAATGTTCAGAGCTGCCTTCCAGTAGTGGACAGCCCTAGCAGCCAATTGTGTTCTCTGACTCTCTGGTGTGGATGGGTTTATCTTTGCACTGGCCTGGTGTTGGAAGGTCCTGGCAAGTTGGACGACCAGCTGTGCAGACAGGCCATGAATACCAGTGGCACGTACCACCTCAAGGCCCCTCTGAAGGGTGACCCTCAGACTGGCAAGATCCTCGCTGTTAATGCATACATAAATACATGATGAAGGAGACAGGCAATAATGGGACGTGTTACTTTATGTCAGTTGGCAATTCAAGGCAGCACTTCATATCAAGGATAGAAGGTGAAGTTTGCAACAGGAAAACTGTTTGCCTTAAGAAAGTTTGCAGAGATCAGTCACTTTATCAAAAACAGGTTAACTACAAAAAGTATGTTTGAAACAAAACAATACCCAGCAGCATTGTTGACAAGTTTGTATGCTGCTTTCCACCAATCGGCCTGCTGTGGGGAGCAGAGACTTTCAGAAACTATTGCTGGAAGGAGAAATGGTCTGTCCAAATCTTCACCAATCGTACGTTTCTGTTCTTCTAATCTGGTAGAAGAAAAATGCAAGAGTAACCACAGACATCAATAAAATCCTCAATCACACAATTAATCATCAATTATTAGATAACCTACATTATTAACGAAATAAATAAAAACATAATATTCTTCCCAAAGACATCCATTATTGTCAATAGTTTTTCCCGAGAATATGACACCCAGCTTACCTTCCCAAGGTGGTGTACACAGTGGCGTACAGGAAAGCAATGGTGTCCAGCTTGCACAGGCTTTCTGGACGTACGACCTTGAGATTAGTCGTTGAATACAGGAGTTCGTCAAACATTGTGAAACCATCTGAATGAAACACTGTAACATGTAATGACCAGAATGTGTTGGTGATTTCCAAAGCGATATTGATAACAGAATGCATCACAAAGTTTGTACGATTATGATCCGTTTCCAAAGTATTTGGAAAATCAAAAAGCTGCAGTCACTCCAACATACCAAGAAAACATGCAATATGTTAACAGTCATCGGTTCCGCATGTTATTGATTTTTGAGTTATATAATTCTTGTTTATTGATTATTGAGTTTAATGAAGTAAGATTAAGGAAATTAAAACACTTACAATCTGGTTGAGCATCAGACCGCTGTGTATATCTGTGTAACGCCAACCATGTGAGGTGGTGAAGACTATCTTGTTTTTCCTTACTGGTCTCTGTAGATAAGTGTTAATAAATAAACAACAATTGTTACAATCTGACAATGGTCTACTTAGCTCAAAAGAGATGCTTGCTGAGTGGTCAATGTAGTTTAAGATGTAGGGCACATGGATAAGCCATACAACCCACACCAGTGCTGCGTATTCTGTGGTCTACTTAGCTCAAAAGAGATATGCTTGCTGAGTGGTCAATGTAGTTTAAGGTGTAGGGCACATGGATTAGCCATACAACCCACACCAGTGCTGCGTATTCTGTAGGAATACGCATTGATGTCGTCAACAGGCAAGCAGTGATGGTCAAAGGCGTCGTGTACAATACGATATTTTTGTTGTATAACCTGCATAATCGACCAAAACCAGGACTGCCCGAAGCCGGTCAATGGTCGGATCAGACTTCTCCAGCCCCGGGTCTCTTTCGTCACCTCCCTTTATAAGGGAATTCTCCCCTTGACCCGGGCATGGGCTCCCCTTCGCTCTCGCCCAGTAGGAGGCGCAGCACCCCAATTAACCAGCGACCTTCGGCTTATCTTCAGCATGTTGATGATGCACACCCCTTGGTCCTCGTCCTTTCTGATCGCCCGCTTTCCTGATTTATTACGTTTTTATGATTGCTCATGACTACCTATGGCTGTCACCTCCATTAGAAACCGCAAATGGGAGATCTATACCATGCAAAACAACAGCCCTCAAGAACTCAAGGCCACCATCACTCGCATGACATTCCTCCTTATCACCTCATTGCCGCTTTCCATTTCCATAACAATCCACATCGCCATGCCATACAATTACGCAATATTCGCGGTAAAAAATGTATCCCTCCGATGTTAAACGTTTATTTTCTATCAAGAATGTGTGATAACATGATGAGATCAAGGAAGACTGCGGCATTTCTTCACAATCAACATGAATCGCTATGATTGAGTTTTTTTCCCTTACCTCTGTCATACTCTGCTAAATCCTGCTTAACAGGCCACTCCACATCAAAATCAATCAATTCCTGGCTGGTTCCCAAGTATGAAGTAGCTTTTTTCTTCCTATGATCCCTATGAACAAACACAGAGTGGAATATCCTGTCCCTGCCCTGTGAGTAACAATAATACACAAATTAAACAGGTAGCCATATACAACCCTACACTGTGACCAAGGTAGTAAGGAAAATGTGAATCAGAAAAGCAAACTGTCACTATTGAAATGGCAGAAAATTGTAAGCGCAAACATTATTTGCTTAAGACATCAGTCACGGCACAACATGGCTTCTCGTGATATACACAAGCAATCACGAACGCACACACACACGTATATATGGAGAGATATTGAATATAAAGTGAGATGAAATTAACTGATGTATATTTATTTCAAAGAACTAAATTTTTGACAATCCAGTTTTGACTGTCATTCACAATTTATAAATGTGCACTGCAGGTTACGTGATACTAGCAATCGCCTATTACCTGTTCAGTGCGCAACAGTTGCGTGATCTTCTGTGTTGGTTTTTTGTCATGTCCAGCGGAATACTGCTCAGCCATGTGACCTATACAAAAAAAAACACTTCATTTCACGTATAAAGGAATAGCCTGATGAAAAGAAACAAGTCATATCTATTGCAAACAGATGGCAAACGCGGTCTTTTACCATGATACAATCGTAATATTATACTATATAATATGGAATATTTTCAGGTATGATGTACTGCACGGAAATGTCTTGCCTTGTATTTGTAACAACCAGTTGACACCAAATTTTACGTAACGTTAAAAAGAGCATGAGCTGCTCTTCACTTTGAGATGCATTCATTCTCCTGGACCAAAAGAACCAGGATAGACTCATGCAGTGTCGTCGCTAATTTCCTAACATTATATGGCATTGTATGGCATAATATAAACACTACCAGGAGTGGATAATAGAGATCTATATTATCCACTCCTGCCACTACTCATATTTCCATAGGGAATGTAGCTCCTCTGTAACTACCGTTTCTTAAAAATTCTATGAAGCAGATTGCCTTCAATCGATAACATATACTTTATTGGTTACACCGTTACAGTGATCTTGAGTGATTACGGTGATCTTGCTTATAGTGATCTGCTTAGGTACAAAGTACAATAACTGAACATATCTGAATAGATATTAGCGTAGCTATTAACTTGCTGTTGGACAGCACTGGATAATAATGCTGCGAGCATAGCGAGAGTCCCAGAGAGAGCGAGAGCTATGGACATAACTGACCTAGGCGAGGTGAAATTTCATGTACATCGATATATCTCCCCCCATGGCTTTTCCCTTTTGTCAAGATGAAGAGAAAAATATGGCACCATAGATTTCTAAACAATGGTTCCAGTGTCCCTATCCCTGTCCAGGAACAGATAGAATTGGTTATCCAAATAACAGTTGTAAAAAGTTGACTAAAATGTTGAGGATCTGCATTGATCCTTTACCACTTCACGCTACAAGCTGGACATGAAGTTCTCTTCGATGAATTGAGACAGTCTAGGAAGCTAACCCCAGAAACACTTGCAGCATAGCGCAAGATCATAATTTCCGATTAGACAATGTTGGCCTAATAAAAAGTGAGTTAAAACTGGGGGTTTAATATTACATCACAAACACACTGCTCTCCAGTAAAGTGAGACTCTGAAACACAGCGCGCAAAATTAGCGCTATTTTGCCGGCGGCCGCCGGCTCAACCCCCCTAAACTGCCGGTTCAACCCCCCATATAATCAGTCCACTTGGCCTATTCAAAATTTTGTCTATCCTGCCTTTATATCAACAATATTTACCAATTTCCTGACTAGTGTTAACTTAGAAGTAAATCATGTTCCAGCAATTCCTGTCAAACAAGTAGAATTCCACTGATAGCAATGAAATACTGAAATACTACGAGTATGCCTAACAAGTGCCGCATTAGCAACAGTGCTCATCTGAGGTCTGCTGCTCTACTGTACTGGCCTTCGTTTCTGCAAAAGATTGAAAGCCTGTTCTATCGCTAAACCGGCTACGTCATCATCAAAACGGTGTAGCATAGGTATTAACACTAAAACTAAACCCTAACAATGCATCCTACTTCATACCTGCTCAACTGTCTTATATATTCGTGTCATAATGTATCACTAGGCCTATAGTTGTCGCGAGATGGCGCGTGCAAGTGTAATCAATAATCAAAGATGGCATCGCCCTTCGTGCATTGATGATAAGTCAATAAAGTAGAGATAACCTAAGGCCAAACAAAAAAAAACCTTTGGTTCGGGTCACATGGGTTGTGAAAATTAGGGTAGGTAGGTAGGTATAACATTCTTTTTTCTTTTTTTTCCTTCAAAAACATGGGTAGGCAGGAATAAAATTTTTTTCCCACAAGTTAAATATAGGGTATACAGCTTGAAATGCAGAAGCCACGAGATGCAAATGACTTGCAGTTGGAATGTACCATTGCTGCAAGTCATGACATTGTTTTCAAAATGTGAACACCTGGATAAGTAGCTAGTGTTAAGGGCCGGACACACTATGCGATTAAATTGGGCGACTAAATCAAGCGACTAAATCGCCGGTGAAATCACCTAGTGTGTCCACTCAATCGCCGCCGATTTAGTCGCCCGATTTAATCGCATAGCTCAAAACGTTTTGATATTATCGGGCGATTATTTCAGTCGCCCGATAAAATCGCCTAGTGTGTCCAGGTTGGCGATTTAGTCGCCCGATTGTACAATTCATCAGCCAATCAGAGTTGTTCAATGATACTGACGTAATAGCGATGTTTCATGTTTAGTATATGTCATATCAAATTGATGTCATGTAATAGCGATGCACGCACGCACGCACGAACGTGTACCTGCACACGCATACGCACATGTGCATACGCACGCTCGCACGCACGTATACGTGCACACGCATGCACTCACCATCACGTGTACCTGCACACACACGCATGCACGCACGCACGCACGTGTACGTAAACACGCACCCACTCACACACGCACGCAGGCACGCACGTGTACGTTCACACGCACACACGCACGCGCGCACGTGTACGTGCACACGCACGCATGTACGCACGTGTAAATGCACACGCACGTGTAAATGCACACGCACGCACGAACGCACGTGTACTTGCACACGCACGTATACGTGCACACGCACGCACACACGCACGCATGCACGCACGTTTACATACACACGCACGCACGCATGTGCACGTACACCTGCGTGCATGCATGCACGCACGTTTACGTGCACATGCATGCACGCACGCACGTGCACCTGTACACACACGCACGTACGCACCAACACACTCATGCACACACGTGTAAAATCGCCTAGTGTGTCCGGTCCTACTCGCCGTCAAAAATCCACTCGACTCGCACGATAGAATCGGGCGATATTATCGGTCGATAAAGTTGCCCGATTAAATCGCCTAGTGTGTCCGGCCCTTTAGGAATCGCTCCAAAAACGGAGCTCGATTAATCGTCCCTTTGAACGAGCGAGTAACCGAAGTGTAAACGGCTCTGCGGCTGCGTATAGCACGATAGCTATGGGGCGCCAAGTGTCGCATGACTGATTTCGTTACGAAATCATTGATTTCGTAACGAAATCAACTACTGAGAGTGATTTCGTGACGAAATCAGCTACTGCGAGTCATTTCGTGACGAAATCAGCTACTGCGAGTTATTTCGTGACGAAATCATGCGACACTTGGCGCGCCGGCGCGCCAAATGTCACATGACTGATTTCGTTACGAAATCATGCGATTTCGTTACGAAATCATGCTACACTTGGCGTGTGGGGCGCCAAGTATCGCATGACTGATTTCGTTACGAAATCATTGATTTCGTAACGAAATCAAGTCTACAAAGTGATTTCGTTACAAAATCAAGTCTACAAAGTAATTTCGTTACGAAATCAACTACTGCGAGTGATTTCGTGACGAAATCAGCTACTGCAATCGAGTGATTTCGTTACGAAATCATGCTACACTTGGCGCGCCGGCGCGCCAAATGTCGCATGACTTGATTTCGTTGCAGAATCATAGATTTCGTAACGAAATCAAGTCTACAAAGTGATTTCGTTACGAAATCAACTACTGAGAGTGATTTCGTGACGAAATCAGCTACTGCGAGTCATTTCGTGACGAAATCAGCTACTGCGAGTCATTTCGTGACGAAATCAGCTACTGCGAGTTATTTCGTGACGAAATCATGCGACACTTGGCGCGCCTGCGCGCCAAATGTCACATGACTGATTTCGTTACGAAATCAGCTACTGCAATCGAATGATTTCGTTACGAAATCAGCTACTGCAATCGAATGATTTCGTTACGAAATCATGCGATTTCGTTACGAAATCATGCTACACTTGGCGTGTGGGGCGCCAAGTGTCGCATGACTGATTTCGTTACGAAATCATTGATTTCGTAACGAAATCAAGTCTACAAAGTGATTTCGTTACAAAATCAAGTCTACAAAGTAATTTCGTTACGAAATCAACTACTGCGAGTGATTTCGTGACGAAATCAGCTACTGCAATCGAATGATTTCGTTGCGAAATCATGCTACACTTGGCGTGTGGGGCGCCAAGTGTCGCATGCATGACTGATTTCGTTAGGAAATCAAGTCTACAAAGTGATTTCGTTACGAAATCAAGTCTACAAATAAATCATGTAAATATTTGCGTTATTATTATTTATTATATTGCGGGAAAAAATAGTTAAATGGATAAAGATAGAAAAATGAAAAAGTATGCATACATGGAGGCGTGCGTGCATGGATGTGGCTAGACTGGTACCCGGTCCCACCTCTCGGCTTAGTTACTCGATGGGCTTAGTTACCATCGAGTAATCGAGGTGGGAGCGAGTACCCGTCTAGGATGTGGACTGCAGGAATTTAGGAAACCAGAACGGGGTTGTCTATATTCAGGCCGGTACAGGAGATAATTTGCATATTTTGTCACGTGGTTTGTTTTATAACCAATCAGATGTAATCGCGTGTTCGTGACGTCACTTCCAGCTGTATCGCAAAGCGATCTCATGTGCAGAAGTGTGAAACATGGTGAGGTGGTGGAGAAGGAGGAGGAGAGAAGCTGGTGGAGAAGGAGGAGGGGGAGAAGCTGGTGGAGAATGAGGAAGGGGAGAAGGGAGGTGGTGGAGAAGGAGGAGGCGAGAAGCTGGTGGAGAAGGAGGGGGAGAAGGGAGGTGGTGGAGAAAGAGGAGGGGGAGAAGCTGGTGGAGAATGAGGAAGGGGAGAAGGGAGGTGGTGGAGAAGGAGGAGGCGAGAAGCTGGTGGAGAAGGAGGGGGAGAAGGGAGCTGGTGGAGAACGAGGATGGGGAGAAGCTGGTGGAGAACGAGGAAGGGGAGAAGGGAGGTGGTGGAGGAGGGGGAGAAGCTGGTGGAGAAGGAGGAGGGGGAGAAGGGAGGTGGTGGAGAAGGAGGAGGGGGAGAAGCTGGTGGAGAAGGAGGGGGAGAA